GTCATGACACTTTTAGCTTATAACTACTGTTGAGGGACTTTTAGTTTTGAAGTCATTGTTGTGAGATTTTTAGCCCTTTAGCTACTGTTGTGGTACTTTTAACTTGTAGCTACCATTGAGGAACTTTTAGCTTGTAGATACCGTCATGAAAATCTTAGTTTGTAGCTGTTAGTGTGGAACTTCAGCCCTTTAGCTACTGTTGTGTGACTTTTAGCTTGTAGCTACTGTTGAGGGATTTTAGCTTGAAGCTGTTGTAGGGACATTTAGCTACCATTGTGCAACTTTTAGCTATAGGCTACTGTTTTGCCATATTTAGCCATCTACCATACTCCAATAGATCCTATTTTGCAACTTGTAGCCTACAGCTACCACTTTGCTACTTTTAACTTTCGGCTACCATTCTGCTTTCAGCTACTAGCTTGCTAATTTTACCCTTCAGTTATTTTAGCTGCTATTTGCTTTTAGCAATGGGCTTACTAATGTATCTTTTAGATTCTGTTTTGCTTATTTTTATTTGCGTTATGCTTGTTTATTTTTAATAATTCGGTTTTAGCTTCTTTTAAAAATGCCAGCGGTCATGCAGCTGTCGGCACCACGAAATTTTTCATAAAGTAATTACCACCAGTGAATAAAAAACTGTTTCCAGTTGTATGAGAAGTCCAGTTCTGAGCCGGAGGGAGTGACAGACGGATCGTACCGACCTGTTTTTGGCACTGATGTAGGACATGATGTTCTGGTTGAAGAACTTCAGGATGAGCGGGATGCAGTTGGCAAACACCAAGTGCTGGGAGACGATCTCAAACTGCAGGAAAGCAACGAGAGGTCAAGGCAGCCGAACGCTTACAAAAGTTACACATCGATTTAAGAGTTTTACTTCTTATTTGATTGTTTTATGCAATTTGTTTTAAATAAAAGACAAAAACATTTTAGTGCATTTTTATTTTGGTGCAGATTTGTTGAAAAAACAACAGATTAAAAAAAAAGTGTTTTCTTCAAATCTTCAGATCTGTTTACAACCTTTTCCTGCTCCTTTCACATTTTGTTCTGCTTCAGCTTCTTTCAGCTTCCTTGTGCAAATTTAAACTTTTTTTCAGCTATTTCCAGCTAACTTCAGCTGTTTTTTTTTCCAGCTGTTTTGTGCTCCTTTCAGATTCTTTCTGCTAACAACAACATTTTTGTGCTTCTTCCAACTTCTTTCTACAAATTTCAGCTTGTTATGCTCCTTTCAGCTTATTTACGCGTTTCAGCTTTTTCTGCTATTTCAGCTACTATTTAGCTGTTTTTAAGCTTTTTCGGATAATTCCACATTTTTTAACTCATTTCAACTTTTTTCTGTCTAATTCAGCAAAAATGTCCTCTCTCCACTTCCTCCTGCTAATTTAGCTACTTTTTAGCCGTTTTTTTTTTTTGTGTGTGTGTGTGCTAATTTCAGCTTTTTTCAGATAATTTCCACTTGTTTGTGCTCATTTCGGCTTCTTTCAGCCTAATTGGGCAAATACATGTTCTTTCTGCTTTCTTCTGCTAATTTAAGCTTGTTCTACCTTTTCAGCTACATATTTATATATTTTTTTTTAGCTAATTTCAACTGTTTTCAGATAAATTCAAGTTTTCTTGGTAATTTTCTGTTAAACTTGTTCTGTTAATTACTTTCTTTCTACTAATTTCAGCTTGTTATGCTCCTTTAAGCTTTTTTCTGCTACTTTCAGCTTTGTCTGCCCTTTCAGATAGTATTTAGCTCTTTTGATGCTAATGTTAGCTTTTTTAGCTAATTCCACATTTTATTTAGCTCATTTCAGTCCTTCCTTCTCTTAGTTTAAGCTTCTTTTTTCCCTTTTCAGCTATTTTTTTTAATTCAAGCTTTTTTTTTTTTGCTAATTGACTAATTTTTGTGCACGTTTCTTGTTATTTAAAACAAATTCAGAAAATATGTGTTCTTTCTCTACTTTCTTCTGCTAATTTAAGTTTGTTCTTCCATTTCAGCTACATTTCAAAATGTTTTTTTTAGAGAACTTCAGCTGCTTTTGTTCTTGTGCAATAAGCATTCACACTGCATTTTTGCAGGAAATGCAAATTATCTAGTTATAATGAAAAAGTCAAGAACCAGTGACGTTTTATAGTAAAACACCTCATTAAAGATAAAAACAAAGCAATTTTAAGATTAAGATTGTTTTTTCTAAAAACAGACTAAATGATTTGTCCTTGAGCTGCGTGTTTATTATTAATTTTGTTTCTAATTACGGAATAAGTTGGATTTATTAAGCGGTCCTCGGCTGGTGCGTGTAAGTCCGTTTAGTGCCAGCAGAGAGAGCCAGCGCCACCACCGAGCCCCGGTCCCTCCAGAGCAACAGAAAATATCTGCATCCGCTTCCTCCCTCTCACAAATCTAAAGACAGGAGTCGGTTGTAGCTCAACCACGAGCGACTCTGAGGAGGAGAGAGAGTGATGAAGGTGGGGATGAAGAGGACGCGTGTGTTACCTGATAGATGTGGTTCAGCTTGAAGTGTTTGAGGAGCAGCAGCAGCAGCGCAGAGATGGCCTTCACGATGATTTCTTTGTGACGGTTCACGTCAATGCCCAGCTTCATGCTCTGAAGGACCGTGATCCTGGAGCGCGCGCACACACACACACACACAAACTTTCAACTCGATTCTGAAGTAAATAAACAAACACCATCAAAGACTTGGGTGTTCAAACATGCACGCCATGAAGTTAGCAAAATTTCTCGTGAACCATTGGACGGATTTTAATAAAACTCCCTGGAAGAACTCAACGGATGTACTTCTACAGCTCCTTCACTTTTGGAGACAACCCAATTCAAGATGGCCACCACAGCTAATCGACCTTTGCAGACAGAAAAGTGGCTACAACTCAGTCAGTTTCAGACGTTGGGCTAAAATTTAGCGCGGCAGTAGCCGAAAGTCATCCTCAACACAAACTCTGAGTACTAATCAGTTGTTTAAAAAAATCTGTTTAAAACTTTGCTATCGACTATTGGAGTCAAATGTATCTGTTAGCAAAATTTCTCAACTCAGTCACAGACCTTAGAAACCCAGTCAGCTTTAAATATATTGAGCTAAAATTTGGTGTGGTGGTAGCTGGGAGTCATTCACAGCACACACTCCGAGTGCTAATAGATGATACAATGCTGAGAGAAATTCTGCATAACGTTACATTCTAGGTTTGACCCAAACGACTAGAACTCCATAATTTCTCATCGCATGATGATCTCGAGTCTGAAGATCTGCACAAAAAGCATTTAAAGGCTCACGTCCCTGCACAGAACTTACGGCATCTCCTCTGGCAGCACGTCAGCTAGGATGTTGATGGAGTCGGTTTTAGCTTTGGAGGTGGGAGCTGCAGCCAGCAGGAGCTTCAAGAGAGCGATCTAACAAAAAGCATGACGCCAACTGAGGTTTGAAAACGGGTTGAAAAGTACATTTCCTTCAACAGTTTAGAGTAAAAACATAAAACTACAGAAAGAATCCCAAAGAGCTAAAAGATTTTAGTCATTCAAAGATACTTTAGCTTAAAAATACATTTTACCAACATCTACATAGAAAAAGAGTCTTTTCTCTAAAAGTCGAAACGACTGACTAATGAGACGGTAATAACTCACCACATACTGGGAGAGATTAGGAAGCATCCCCACATATAAACTCTCTGCTGGTGTCTCCTCCACCTCCTCCGCACCCTGTCAGCACAACATCCACTTAGCACTCACAGCGTCGAGCGACAATTAAGAGAAACCCCTTAAAGCTTCAACCACAGACAGATTTTACTAACAGACCAACTGACACCACCTTCTCGTTATTGGAATTGAAACCAATATAAGGAATCGTGTGATGCATTTTTGGAACCAGAGTCTGTGCATGAGAGATGTAGGGCTTTAAGCTCCGCCTACTCCCCCCTCTCACACAACCGTGGTGTTAAATGAGCTTTTATTTAAGCGTTAAAAAGCTAATTACGGCTAAACGTGTTTAATAGAACAAAAAGAACCAGAAAATACCTGATTATTATTGAGTATTTTGTTTGCATGGAGGGGGCGGGGCTTAAGACATGCACAAGGGCCCCGAGGTTTAGAGGGCTAAGCCCCGCCTACTCCTCCCCCATACAACCGTTGAGCTTTAACTTAAGCATTAAACATCTAATTACGACTAAACACGTTTAATAGAACAAAACGCAGCAAGGTACCAGAAAATACCTGATTATTATTGAGTATTTGTTTACATGAAGGGGGCGGGGCTTAAGATATGCACAAGGGCCCCGAGGCTTAGAGGGCTCAAAAATTTTTTTATTAAATGAATCAAATGTTTAAAATATTTCACTTAAATCCAATAAAGCCCACATCGCTGAAAACACTTCATTTAATAAAGCTGCATTAACGTTTTTGGTCAGATTTTGTTTATTAGCTTTAATTTAATTTATTTTTACAGTTTTAAAGGCAATACAGTACTTTAAGGTTTATTAAAAGGCTTTAGTCTGTCAGTCTGAGCCATAATGGTTGGAAAATATCCCAGTTGCTTTGCAGAAATAGTCATTTTTCAGTATTTTTACCTTCATCTCGAAGTTCACGTGACAAAATCTGTTTCAAACGACCTGTCATTTTTCATGAAGTCAGGTAAAAATGAATTTTATCTCAGATTTTAATGTCCCTATTACATTAAAATTCAATAGAACCATTAAAAAATAAAGTTTATTCTGCTTTACTGCTGCAGTTTTTAAATTCTGTATCTGGACTTTTTCTCTATTGCCATGCCACTTTAAGATCATGTGACTTGTGAAAATATTGACTTAGTTTTTGAGTTTAAATAGAGACAGTTCAGATCCACTTGTGGTTTGTGCAGAAACAGCTGACAGAGTAGATTCTCTCAGATTTTAAGTTTGTAGATTTTCTCTGTTTTAGACTTTTGGAGATTAAATTAGAGAATCCCTGCTCACCAAGCTCAGCGGACACTGCTGCAGCTCCTCTTCCCTCTTGATCTGGACCTCAGCAATGGACACATACTTGTGCTGAAGAAGAGAAAAAAAATACAAACAAAAAACATTTAGGTTTGACAATAATTACTAACTAGAGAAATTGCATTTCCTGTGAAATTGCAGCGCGAATGCTTATTGCAGAAGAACTTGCTGAAAACAGCTGAAATTAGCTTAAAAGAACATGCTGAAATGGGAGAACAATTCTAAATTCACAGAAAGCTAAAAAGCAGACAGAACAAATATAAGCTGAATTAAATTTAAATAAGCAGAAATTATCACAAAAATTAAGGTTAGCTAAAAAAGTGAAATTAGCAACAAAAAATTGCTGAAAAGTAGTTGAAAAGGCAAAAAGAGTCTTAAATTGCCAGAAGGAAGCGGAAAGGGCTGAAATGAGAAAAAAAATGTGGAACTAGCTGAAAAGGCTAAAATTAGCATAAAACAGCTAAACAGTGGCTGAAATAGCAGAAAAAGCTGGAACTACCAGAAAAAAGCTGAAAGGAGCATATCAAGCTGAAATTAGCATAAATTAATTCACTAGGCTGAAAGTAGGAAAAAATACCACGAAAAGATTGAATTTATCTAAAAACAGCTGAAATTAGCTAAAAAAATGCTAAAAAAAACCATAGCTGAAAATGTATAAGTATAAATTAGCAGAAGAAAGCAGAAAGAGCACACATTTTCCAAATTAGGATGAAAGAAGCAGAAATGAGCACAAAATAGTGGAAAATGTCTGAAAAAAGCTGAAATTAGAAACAACAACAACAACAAAAAAACAGCTGAAAAGTAGCTAAGGAAGTGGAGAGAGCACAGTTTTGCTGAATTAGGCTGAAAAAAGTTTAAATAAGTGCAAAAAATGTGGAATATGTTTATAAAAAAAACAACAAATTAGCATAAAACAAATGAAATAGTAGAAAAAGCTGACAATTGAAGAAATAAGCAGAAAGGAACATCACAAGCTGAAAACTGAAAGGAGTTAGAAGAAGCACAAAAATGCTGTAGTTAGCAGAAAGATTCTGAAAGGAGCACAAAACAGCTGAAAAAAACATCTGAGATCAGCTGAAAATAACTGAAAAATATTTAAATTTGCACAAGGAAGCTGAAAGAAGCTGAACCAGAACAAAATGTGAAAGGAGCAGGAAAAGGTTGTAAACAGATCTAAATATCTAAAGGATGTAAAATGAGCTCAATTCGTTTTTTATGAAGAAAAAAATAGCAGAAAAGGCTAAATATTTCAAAAGCTAAAGTTGTACCAGTACCAAAAGTCATAGCACCCTTCTCATGAAGGAGCTGAACATTTTGATACTAAATTGCTGAAATAACTTAAAAACTCTAGGACGAGAATTGCGCTGAAAGCATATGGAATAGGGATAGTAACGAGAAGTCGGAATAATAAATATAAACAGGAAAACAATAGTGTGAATACTTAAGAGCACAGCTCGCTGACACCCAGGGGGTATTGCTCTGTGTAACCTCATTCTAGGGAAGTATAGATTATTTAGCTGGACGCCAATAAAAGAAGATTCAGCAGCATGGGAGCATCGATTAGCAGACACTTAATCCATAATAAATCTAAACAAACAAAGTAAATAAGATGGACGTTCAGTAAAATCTGACCAGTGCTCGGGTTTCTACTCACCTGTTTGAGGGTCTTGACACTCTCGTGAATGGGTCTGGGCAAGCCCACCAGAGTCTCTGTATCGCTAAAGACAAAACAACCAGTTAACTGAGGGGAGAAAAGAGGAGAATTTAACAATTCAAACACTCACTTTCCCAGAGTAAAACCAATAAACTTGTTTCTGCTGGTCTCCAGGAAGTGCTCGATGTCTTTCTCCCTAAAAAACACACAGAGTTCACGCAGGCTGTGGATTAAGGCGACAGAAACCTGCTGGAAAGTATCAGCATGTATAACAAGTTCCTCACAGAATATCTTTTTATTATCATCATCTTTACTTAACCAGACAAATCCCACAGAGATCACCGATCTCATTCCTTCAACTAGGCGGCCTAAACGTGTGTTTTTGGACTGTGAGATGAAACCGTAATAGTAGGTGAGCTGATGATTAATCTCAAGATAAACGCAGATCAATAATGTGTTTGTATCCGTTGTTACATGAATTATTTATACCACTGAAGCAGCAGCAGCCCCCTGCACTGATTGCTGCATGGCACAGAATCAGCCTCATGATGGGAAATAAATAATTAATCCCCGTCGTGACTTTATCGCCTGATGTGGAATATGAGGCTGATGCCAAATTACAATGATACAACTCGAGGTTTTTGCTACTTTATTAATCAATACACGATAAAAACAGCAAATATCCAAATGCTCTTTGTTGGTTTACCTTTGTGAAATGAAGGTTTAATGGCTTTAAGCTACTAAAGCTAATATCCGGGGTCATTTCGGGGTTTTAAAAGAACATCTAAGACCGTTTTATGCGATTAGTGTAACAAAAACTTCTCAGAGACTCAAGACACTCAAAGCTCTTTACAACGCAATCTGCCCTCATTTACTCGTTCATACAGCACTCTACTAGATCTATACAAAGCTACTTGAAGAAATCATTCTAGAGAGACTAATCAGAGCTTTATCACATTCATACACTGATGGGACACACATCAGAGGCAGTGAGGGGTTCAGTGTCTTGCCCAGGGACACTTCAACATGTGACTGCTGGTGGATTAGAACCCCCAACTCTTGTATTGGAGGACGACTGCTCTAACCACTCAGCCACAGCCGCATCAAAGACACTTGAGAGTGTGTCGGGGATGACTCTCAGCTACAGACACCAAATTTCAGCTTCAGTTTTTCCCCTATCATTATACAAGGAGGGCATCACGCCCCGCCCACCAAACTGCCCCGCCCCCCTGCCAGCGCTGATGTAGCACTAAGTTAGCGGCACACTAAAAAGCTAGCATGCTGGCTCACACCCTCACGCTGAGCCATCCCCCCTACGTGCAAAAAAGACGCCCCCCCCCCCAAAAAAAAAAATCATGGAAGAGATGAGCGCCCTGCCAAGGCAAGTAACCTAGGGGGACACACTAAGCTTATTCAATGTAGAAATGAAGATTATAACCATTCTTATGTTTGTTAAGGCTGATTAGCTGTGGCAGCCATGTTCTCATTCTCAACAAAGACAAATAAATTAGTTGTAGATAATCTTTTTTTTTTTTTTAAACTGTCCACACAGAAACGTAGTTTTTCCTAAACTGTCTTATTGCTGTTTCTAAAAATATCCTAGTAAACACAGCACTGTTTCTAGAAACATAATCGTCCACACAGAAACGCCAAACACGACCCAAAACGCTGTAGAAACTGTACTAGGCCTGTTCGTGGTGTCGTATGAAAATATATCAAAAACAGGAAACGAGGTACGGGGCACGAGCATTAAGCGCTGAATCAAACTGTAAGAAGACAACACCACTGGTTCAAAGGTTAAATTAGAGTTGGATCTATGACATCATCGTTGTTAGCGTTTTGATTGTCTACATTATACTGCAAAGGCGGCATTTCTAGATATATTTTACTCCGGAACCAGTTTAAAAAATAAATAAAATTAAATTTGAGCTACTAAAATGCCAGTTCTGTCTAGAGCTCCAAAGAGTTGCAATAAAATCCGTCCAGCGGTTCATTGGATATTTTGCTAACAGACAAATTGTCATGAAAGGCAGGCAGTCGTGTAATTGACTCTGACCTGACTTTAGGAGCCCATGGAAGACCTTTGGGGAAGTTGACCCTCTCTGTTGGGGGTCTCAGTGGAGGCGGCGGCGGTGGTGGCTGGATGATGACATCACGGTCGAGGGGGTCCACCTCACCCTCAATGCCACTGTCGGCATCCTCCGGGTCCTCATCATCATCTCGGGCGTCATCGTTCTTGAAAGGGTCCCGCTCGTTGTACGTGTCCAGACTGTCCTGCTTGACCAGAGGCTGGGGGTGTCAGAGGACAGGAGGGTCAACAGTGATTTGGGGGAGGTGGGGAGACACGCACACTAGGAGAAAACCCAGATCTGCTACAATAAACATTTGAAAATGAACCGTATAGCAAAACTCCATTTGAAGCGGTGAATTTGCTTTAGAAATATATTTTTTTATTATCTCAAAAAACACTATAGGCTTTATACGAATTATTACACCAAAGTACAAGTATTTTCTTATAGAAAATGTATAACGTGTACTTTTTGAATGGAAGAGTGACGCCATTCTTTTAACTCTCCAGCCCACACACAATTTTCCAACAAAAAAATTGCAAAAAAGTGGAATTTAGGTTGAGATTTGTGTCAGTAGGCTCCAATTTTAAAATAAAAAGTGTGAAGTGTTTACTTTCTAGCAGGTGCAACAAAACAAGCAGAAGGTGGAGGGGCAGGTCGATCAGGCACTGTGTGTGTACACCCACACAGATCTGACGACTGAATAAACAGCAACAACAGCTGGTCCACCTGTAAAATTATCCGCGTTGTTTTTCCTCAAATTTACATAAAAAGGCAGAAGGAAAATCTTCCACCCACTAGCGCGTCTACAAAAACTCATGGATTAATTCAGTTCAGTTTAGATGTAGTTGTTTGTGTAACCATTAGAAAAGAGTCATGCTGGGTGCAATCTGTTTAAAAACCTGCTCGTCGTAGCCTCGTGTTCATAAAATAGATATGGAGTGGTCCCATTCCTCTCAAACTGTTACCAAAAGGAGCAAACTGAAATTTGTGGAAATACTTTTTTTTTTTTTTACTATTTAAGGCTTTTGTGTTTTTCTGATACTACATGATAAAGTACAATACAGTATGATACTATACAATATAATCTGATACAATGTGTGTGATTCTAAACAATATAGTATGATACTGCAATATAATGTGATACAATACGATAGAATATAAAACAATATGATACAATGGGACACACATGATTTGACAACTTACGATACACTTACACGATTACATAGTACACTACGATGCAATTTGATGCATTTTGATAAAATATTGCATAATATGATGTACTATGAAATACAAAATGATTTAAAACAATGAATATAATACATCCTTTTATACAATGCAATAGGGTATGATACGATACAACATGATGCGATACGATACAAAGAGATGCGATACGATGCTCTTGTTCTTTCCCTTCTTCAGGGATTGCCACAGTGAGTGGACTCACAATTGTCTTATGCGGGATGCCCTTTCTGACGCAGCTTGAGCTCAAATTCATAATCTCAAGATTACAAGACCGCGGCACTGACACATCTAGCAACTGCAGTCTTAACACGACATGATGTGATGCAATACAATATAATGTATACAGAATGATACAGACATGCTAGCTAGCTAAAAAGCTAGCAATACGATGTGATGACACAATGTGATACTGTGTGATTCAACACCATACAATATGCTACGATACAATAGAATACGACGCAACAAAAACATGATATAATGCAAATTCGTACAATTCAATACATTCTATTGCAGTGGTTCCCAACCATGGTCCTTGAGGAACACCGTCCTGCATTGTTTAGTTGTTTCCCTGCTCCAACACACTTGATTCAGTTTTATTACTTCCTCAAGTTCTGTCAAAGCCTGTTAAGCACCTATTCATTCAATTCAGGTAAGTCAAAGCAGGGAAACAGATGGTGTTTCTCGAGGACCAGGGTTGGGAACCACTGCCTGTAAACTTGTCTATGACTCAGCACTGACCTAAAACTATCATACAAAAGATCAACAAAAAAATAAATAGACTATTAAAAACTGACAACTGTAATATTATCAGAAAAATATTTAAATCCAAAGAGAACAGGTCAACTCAACATGACATTAATCTTAAAATAACACTTTCACTGCACCCACAAGCAAAGGGTCATAATAAACTTACCACACGTCTGACATCAGGGGAAAAAAAAGGCACAAAATGCAAGCAAGATCCACGAAGGCATTGGTTTGATGTTTAAATCTCATCTACAAACAAGTGAGAAACACACTTTCACACAAACTCACACGGTGTCTCAGCTCAAACAAGTCTGCCAATGAATGACTGGCAACAGTGCAAGCATCAAGCATGAGTAAGCTTTCTGGCCATTAGTTGAGCTACTGCAGTTGATGTATGGTGTATCGGTTGTAGTACTAATGCTGGGCTAAGTGACGGGCACGGTGAGTGCACGATGTGAAGGAGGGAGTGGGTATGAGAAGAGAAGAGCGGGTGGAACTGTGCTGTGAGACATTCTATGGAAAAGCCATTCTCTGCTACGTGGAAGCCGTTTCCCTTTCAGGGTTAGAGGGGCGACTGCTTTCAGTTGCATCCTTTTGAGAGAGAGAGCTCGGAGAAATGCAGCTTCACGAGCTTACGAATGCGACCCATCTTCTCAATGAATGTAATTTAAAGACAGCAGCCCCTTGTTTGAAATCTACAGTGCAAGGTGAATTTCTTGTAGATCGAAACTATTTGCAATGTGATGAAAACTACAAGGGAGATGCTCCTACGGTTGATGTCTGGTGAACTGTCTTTATGGGCGATTGGACAGTGACCACTCCGGTGCCAATGATTACAGCCAGCAAGTCAGCCCTGTCCCCGCAACCCCGCAGTCTGCTAACGGGCATCCCACAGTGGAAGAGGAGGGGAGGAGAGAGTAGAAAGAAACAGGGAAATGAAAAGAGGACTTGTAAAACAAGAGAAAACAAAGCGGGAAGGATGGAAGGACCTCTTCACAAGAGAAGTCGGCTGATAAACTTTGCAAAGTCTTGGTAGGGTGTTCAGGTGAGAAGGGGGTGGGTTCCCTATTAGGCATGATATAAAACAGGTATGGATGCACGATATTATCGGCATGGTATCGTATCGGCCGATATTAGCGATAAAGTTAAATATCGGACATCGGCCATTCCATCAAAATAACAACAATATAAAAGGAGCTGGTTTTTTTAATTATATTATATATGTTTATATAGTGTTACATCATTTTCAGCCCCGTTTTTTGGCATCTGCATTTGGTAGCAGGCCAAATTGACAAAGACCATGCAGAATAATGTAGTATTTTAATTCCACAGCAGAGAAAGCTATGTAGTCTCTGTAAGTAGGTCTACGTAAAAAACATCTGTATTGGTATCGGTTACCAGTCAAGTAAGTTTTAACGTATCAGCATATTGGATATCAGCCAATAATCCAATATTGTGCATCCCTAAAAACAGGGTTTTTATTTTAATATTCAAAGGTCCAAATCTGATTTGTAGATAAGGTCAAAGGTCTGGGACAATAGCAACAACCAAATATTTTATTTAATTTGTGTACAACTTACAACCAAGAGAAATGGTTTGACCCTTGACCTTCAAACGTTCGACAGTAAAACTTGATGTGCGCTGTAGTTTTATAAAAAAGTTATTGAAACTTGATTAACTTAACTACGTTTTGTACCTAAAAATAATAAATAAATAAAACGTCTTTGTTTCCACTCAAGGATAAACACATTAAACAAACTGAACCTAAAGGCAACTTTTACCTCGATCGCTTTTTGTTAAAGATGTCCAGAAACGGTTAAAACGCGTAGTCACCAAAAGTTAAAAATGGCTGCCTAAAATTGGAACCAATGAGATCCGACGGACTCGCCGCTTTAAATGTTCGTTTGTGAAGCGGCTGATATGTGAGCCTTTAGCTACATTTATTGCTGAGAACGCAAACTCACACACTTGTAGAACCAAACATGGTGAGGACAAATTAAACGCATATTTCTTTGTCCACTCATCTTTCAAAACTTTCTACCTTTCTTCTCTTGTTGCACATTTAAATAATGCCATGGCAGTATAACACTGCATGCCAATATATTTTAGCTTTTAGCCGACTTGCTAACGTTGACATACATAGAAATATACAAACGGTAGCTTTTGTCACCATCGCTAACCGACACTGGACACACACAGGTAGAAGTACGGCTTTTGCAGCCGATTTCCACCGTCTCGCTTGTGTCTTCTCACATTCCCTCAACCTGTGCACTCTTGAAGGAGCCACACCTTTCTTATACCATCTGGCAACATACACTTCATTGTGTTGCACCAATGCCCCAATGCAGGGCAATAAAATATGTGATTTGGTCCCAGATTGACTTTAGGATGGTTTTGAATACCCATATGCACCAATGTGGCTTGGCTATTGAGGACTTGAAGCAGAACTCCCTACGTTGGTCTTAAGCCTAAACTACAACCCTGACAAGGTCACAAAAACCCTAATTCAAATGCAATAACTGTGGCAGTGGTGCTGTGTGACCTTCTAGTGTCTTATCCTGGTCCTAGAAGGTCACTATCCTGCATGTTTCAGATGTTTCTTTGCTCCAGTACACCTGGTTTGAATTAATGGGAGATTAAGAGGCTTCTGCAAAATATGAAGTGGTAAGTCAACCATTGAATCAGGTGTGCTGGCGCAGGGAAACAAGTCAAACATGCAGACAGTGGCCCTCTAGGACCAGGACTGGACACCCTTGTTTTAGCATGGAGCTTCATCCTTGCATGGTTTGACAGAGTCTTGCCAATGATTACAGGCGTTTAGGCAAAGGTGAGGACACAGGAGAGAGATTTCAGGATAGCAGCAAGTAAGTCGAGAAGATCTTAGTGGGGTCATTGTTCTGTGTGAAGGGGGGCCTTTAAGACAAAAACTAAATGGACTGCTAAGACGCTAGGTAACTGAGCATGCAGACTGAATCAAATGTAAAATAAGGAAAGGAGAGGGTTGAGATGGAAGGAAGAAGGATGAAAGGAGGCCAAAGAGACAGAAAGAAGAAACTGTGGGACTGCAGGGAAGTGGGAGAGGAGTACAAAAAGTCCAGCTCAGTGCAGAGAAGAGAGAAGAGGGGATTTGTGGGTAAAGACCTGCTTCTTGGGAAAGGGACTGTCTCCTTCCAAGCTATCAACAAAGGCACTCTGTGGGGACACAAGGAAGAGGGGCGATGAGAAACCAGATGGTAGTTAAAGCTCCACCACAGAAAACAAAATAAATCAAACTAAAAAAAAAAAAAAAAACACAAAGCAGAGGCTGGGATTCCCGAAGCAGCATGAGCACCAAGATCATCTGTGGTCACCGACTTACAACAGGGAACGGATGATGCTGGCATTAAAACACCTTTACAACAGCTGACAGAGAAATTAATTAGAGGGAGTTACTGCAGGAATTATCCAGGGTCGTTGTATTAGACACTTAAGTTGTTGTTCAACAGCAACAGTAGCTAAATAATCATAGATGTGCATGTTTTTTTCACTAAGCTAAAATATGCAAATGGGTTATCATATCAAATATCTTTGGTGTTTGTGCTGAACTGTTGCAAACTTGCACCAGATTTCAGTATCGTCTAACTTTAGCTTTCAGAATTTCTCTAAATCTTCAGCATGCTGCTGGACAATCTTTGTGGGGGGGGGGGGGAGGAATTATTTGAGTTTCTGGAGGACATAGACAAACTTGACTGCAACAAAAAAAACAACAACTTAGATTTATAGTCAAAATAAAAGTAAGCAATCATGAGAAGTTTTGAAAGACTCCCATGATTGCTTACAAGAATGTATGTTGATTTTGAGCATGAAAATGATTTAAATTCACTAATAAGCTAAAATGATCACAATCAGACTGTGCGTGTGCGGTTGTCGTGCCACGTACCCTGCGGCTGCGGCGGCCTCTCTTCTGCTGCTGCTGCTGTTCGATGAGCTCCATGGCGGAGGCCGGGGGCGAGGCCGCTCTCATGGCTCGCACCACCTTGATGCTGTCCTCTGGGAGCGGGGGCAGGCGGAGCCGCTCCCGGCCTCGCACCTTCATCTCCTGGAGCTCCTCGAACCCGCCCAACGTAAACTAGAACGCAGGGGACACGGAGTGGGTACGCGGCGACGCGTTGACGGTCATAACTGAAGCGGTTCAGACGCACTAACCAGTATGGTTTTCCACAGCAGCAGGAGGACCTTCTTCATGGGGAAGTGTGGCGCGTTCATGCTGCAGAACTTGGTCACCATGGTGAAGAGGAGCAGAGCGAAGGGCTCCTCGTTGTAAAGAGGTGAGCCTGGGAGTTTTCAGGAATGTTTGTCTGAATCATTGCATTACCAGACACTTGTGAACACACACACACGGCACACACACCTAGCTCGCTCTTAAAGGCGTCTCTGGCTGCTCTCCACTCCGGTCGATCGTCTTCCGTTTGGACTCTAATGGTCTCCACCATCAGGTACATGATGCTCAGTAACACCCTGAGAGGAAAAACAAACAGACGCTCGTCGAGTCTGGGAGAAAAGGGAGGTCAAATCTATTTGTAGATGCAGCGCAGACATGGAGGATTACGATCGATTTCCAAACGCCAAAAATAAATTTTGTTCATCTGTGCTGCCACTTTAAAAGAGAATCAGAGCCGTTTGTCCCAGCAGAGCTGCCGTAGCTTCTTGTTATAAAAACATGTCACGATAACAAATTTTGCTGGGTGATTAATCGTCTCGGAAATTATTGCGATAAACGATAACATTGTTTGAAATTTGACAATAATTAGTAACTATTGTCAACTTTAAGAAGAAATCATGTTTAATTTGTTTTGAGGGTAGTACTTTTTTTGACCACTGGATGGCAGTATAAGAATGTTTGAACTGAAGGATGGATAGTGAGGGAGCGAGCAGCGCATCTCTTTAAGAAAAATGGGAGGGAGGCCCCTTGATGTGACATCTGTTTTTTGGTTCTCAAAATGGCGGATGCTCCATGTGGTTTGAACTCTTTAAGTATAACATTTTTCTGCAAAGCGTTTAATAAAAATAAATAAATAAATCAGTAAACAAGTTCTCAGCTTCTTTTTGCAGAGAAAAACAACTTTTTACACGAAGGCACAGGTTTCAAACGTGAATTTTGGAGCTTTGACAAGACGAAGTTTTTTTCCCCGAGGTCGGCCTGTTAGCTTAGCTTCTTAGCTTAGCTGCTTTTAACGATTCAAAAACGCGATTTTAGATCGCTAAAACGGATTTTTAAATAGAAAAGAGAAAGGAAGGGGTCAGTGAAGAGCACTGGAGTTGAGCCTTGTCATCCAGCGTCTTCAGAGAAAGAGAGACAGGAAGAAACGATAAAGCCGATAAATGAAAATGAGGTTGATAATTTTCATTTATCATACGATTAATTTATTGTTTATCGCGACAGGCCTAGCGATAAAGCTGCGTTTTTACAACTTTCCTTCGCTGAAAATGTAAGAATACGTCTGTAAATATTTGTGTCTTTCATAACGACTCAGAAAGTTTGAATCCAGTGATGAGAAAGAAGCTAATGGTGCGAGTGCTTCTTAAGCTATCAAAACGTTCGGCTCATTCGGGACATTCCTGCTGTGACTTTTGGTATTTGTGCAATTTTTACTTTTTGGAATATTTAGCTTTGTCGGCCATGTTTTTTCTAATTGAAAAAGAACGGAGCTCTCTTCACATCCATTAAACCCTTTGTGTTGTTGAAAATATTTTAGTGGTCATTTAAGCTTTTGATCTGCGCCAGCTTGTTCAGCTTCGTTGTGCCGATTTCAGCTCCTTTCAGCTTTTTTTTTTTCCCATTTCAGCTTTTTCCAGGTATTTTTCTGTTCCTTTCAGCTTCTTTCAGCCTTTTCAGCTTCTTTTGAAGATATTATTTCTGCAAATTTTACCCTTTTGCTTTTTTTAAATTAATTTTCTGTCTTTTGTGCATCCTAATAATTTCAACTTTTTATGCTTCTTTCAGCCCCTTTTTGCTTTTTTTAGCCCTTTCAGCTACTTTTTTTTTTGCAAATTTCAGCTTATTTCAGTTTTTTTTTCAGCCTTACTTTGCCTATTTCAGCTTATTCTGCTCATTTCTGACATATCAGCTGTTTAAATTCAACTCGCATTAATAGCTTAGCGATGAAACCTTTTCAGTTTGGTTTCAACTTCAGCAGCTTTCAGTAAAAGTCATTCAGCAATAAGCATTCACACAGTTGGGGAAACAAATAACTTTATGTTTAAACTGCGTTCACAACAAACCTTCAAGAGAATCGAGCCCAGATAAGAAAGCCCATGCATCTGCATTGGGAGCTACGGCTAAATCAAAAACAAACACACTTTTTTTTTTCTTTATGTAACAAATTTTAATTCATATTAATAATAAAAGTAAGTTTCTTTCGGCTGCTCCCTTCTTCAGGGGGCACCACATTGAGCAAACTCACATGCAAGATATGGTAATCAGTTTTACGCCGGATGCCCTTCCTGACACAACCTGGGCTCGAACCTGCAACCTCAGGATTACAAAACCTGACTGCCGAGCTACCAATGAATATTAATTAAATTGTTGAATTTATTGTCAAAAAACAAACAATAAAGGGCTTTAAAAATCTGCACCGGCTTTTAAAAATTGCATATGGATTGGAAAAACGGATAACCGGTCAACCTGTGAGGTGCTTTAAAGTTTTTAACAGATTTTACCCAATCTGGTAGCATTCAGAGCATGCCATGGGGATGACTCTCAGCTACTACCACGCTAAATTCTAGCTCAATATTTGTAAAATTAACTGCGTTATGGCCATTTTTGCGTATGATAAGCTCAAGCTGTGTCCTGTGGTTTGTGAGATATTTTACTGACAGACACAGGAAGCGTACTCGTCTGTGAGCGTGACGCAGAAGAGGAGGATTCAGGAGCTGATGGGACTCACCTGAGCTCTGTGCTGTCCGCGAGAGAGATGGCGGGCTTCCTCACTGCACTGCTGCATGCTTGGTTGTTGCTGCGGACAATTTTATTCATATGTTTATTTAAAAAAAAACAACAGATTATAATCTAGAACATGGAGACACACATAATGCCTTCTTTCATTTCCCCACATAATCTGCCGGACGTTCTGCGTCTATTTGTCTGATTGTTCTGCTCCGGCTGACGAGAGGCTGACGTAACGACGGAGCCCAGAGGAGCCGACGCCGGCAGCAGAGCTGGAGGCTGCAGATGTGCTGAGACTGCACAGCTGTGTCAACACTGAGACACTACTGACTTTTAGTTCTCGCAGCTTAATAACATTTTCAGCTTTATTTATGAACAGTTTAACAACATAAATACATTAAAATCATTTCAATTCCTTAAAAGCACAGTTCTGTTTCAAATCTGCTCCATTTTTGTTTTCTCACTCCTCGTTTCGCGTTTACGTCTGATTTTACTCATTTCAGCTTTAAGTTTTGTTTGATGACTTCCCTTTATCTACTGTTTGGCAAATTTTAGCTTTTAAATTGTGTTTAAATTGCACTTTTATCTGCAGTGTTGAGAGTTTTGCCATGAAACTACAGTTAAATTTATTTTAGCTTTTAGCTACTATATTAGTAAATTTAGCTTTTATCTTATTTTAAGTGTTAGCTACTGTCATACTAAATTGTGTTTTACAGTTCTCATTTTAGCATTACCGATTAGGTTTTTTTTTTACTTTTAGCTACTCTTTTGGGTTTAGCTAGTTTTGCTAAACGTAGCCTTTACAAAGTGCTGATTACTTTAGCTTTAAGCTACTGTTTTGCTAAATATTGCATTTAGCTATTGTTTTGCTAGTTTTAGCTCTCAGTTACTGCCCTACTAGTTTCAACTTTACCTACTATTTTATCAGTTTTAGCTTTTAGGTATTAGTTTGCTGGTTTTAGCTTTCAACTTCTGCTTTGCTGAATCTTAGCTCTTAGCTGCTGCTTCGATTTTGTTAGCTTTTAAAAAAAGTTTAGCCAATTTTTGCTTTTACTTTCATTTGCGCTAATCCTAGCGTTTGGCTACTGTTCTGTTCATTTTAGCATCAAGCAAGTTTGCTGTCAATTTTTGTTTGATGTTGCCAATTTTAGCTTTTAGCTCTTGTTCTGCTTGTTGTAGCGAACAATTCAGTTAATTCATTCAGCACTTGGAAACTGAATTTACTCCTTTCAGCTTTTAGTTAGTTTTGTTTGATTCCCCTTTATCAACTGTTTAGCTAATTTTAGCTTTAGCTACTCACAGAGTAAATAAATGTATTTAGTTTCAGCTTTATTGAGCTAACTTTAGCTATAAGCTACAGATCTGCTCATTTTAGATTTTAGCTACTGCTCTGATTACGTTAGCTTTGTAGTGGTTGTGCTTTAGCTTTTAGCTCATGTTCTGCTTGTTTGTTCTGCTCACTTCAACCCTCCATCTGCTCTATTTGAACTTCAGCTTTGCTCGTTCTAGCTTCGGTTAACTCGGTTTGTGCAGCCTTCGTGCAGAAAGCTTTCGGTCGACGGTGAAGACGAACGTGAGACTCACTCGATCTCCATGCTGAGCAGCTCCAGCAGCGCCGTGAAGAGGCCCATGTCATAGAGGAGAAAGATGTTGTGTCTGGACCAGTGGAGCACGTCCACCTCGGTGTCGCACTCGTCAAACGCTCCTGGATCAAATTTAAAACGTGCGTTTGATAGTCACATTTCTGTAGTTTAACTGACTGAAGGGATACGAGCCACGCACCCTGAGCCAGGTAGAGGATGGACCGGGCCACCTTCAGCCGCTTGTCCCGGTCCGTCACCTCCAGCGCATCCAGGAGCCTCATCACATACGCCCTCTGCTCCTCCGTCGTCAGCTCCGTCCACCTCCTGCCTCCAGCTGCGGGGAGAAAACAGCAGCAGAATGTCCACTTCCTGTCAGACAACGGCTTGGTTTTTTTTTTTAACTTTACTGGTAACCGTTGGAGCCTGGCCTCAGAAACAAACAAAAAAATGGCTACAGCTTTGTCCGTTTTATAGAAACTGAGCTAAATTCTGGTGTGGTAGTTGCAGAGAGCGGCTCACAACATTTAGGTTGAGCACAAAAAGATTGTGGCTAAATTTTTTATCCTTCAAGAAACACTTAACCTTTATTTTGTTTTAAACATACCCGATGTTCAACTATCGGTTGGTTTTCTAATTATCTCTCAGATCGGAGGCAATCAACACAATGGTACTTCTAGTTATTTAACTGTCAACAATGGTGTACCACAAGGCTCAGTCTTAGGACACACCCCATTTACAATCTACATAAATAATGTAGGTCAGATCATTCCTAACGCATATTTACATTTCTATGCCGACGACACAATAGTTTATTGTCGAGCTAAATCAGTTGCTAAGGTTTTCCAGCTTTTCCAGTCTGCATCCAGTCAGATTTGTTCCGTCTCAAACTGGTGCTAAATTCTGATAAAACCAAAGGGATGTTGTTTTCAAACAGAAAGTCGGTATAAGCAGTCCTTCCTTCTATCTCATCTTCAAATGGTGTTCCTATTGAATTTGTCAAGTACTATAAATACTTGGGTATCTTGGTTGATGCACATTTCTCTTTTAAGCTCCACGTTGAAAACTTGATTAAAAAAATTTGAAATTAAAACTGTTTCGTTTTCAAAAACAGATCCTGTCTAACTTTGAATGCTAGGAAACACCTTGTAACTGCGACTTTCCGTCCCTCCATTGACTATGTTGACATTATTTACATGAATTTTTCTGCAAGCACCCTGCGGATGTTGGACGCTGTGCCCTAAGATTCATAACTGGCTACAACCATCGTTCCCACCACTACACTTCACTGTATTCATCATTAACTTCACGCAGACTCTCCTACTGGGACATTTTCATCTTTAAATCACTTCTTGGTCTGTTGCCTTCATAAATCTCCTCCTACATGTGTCTGCGTGAGTGCAGCTACAGCATGCGCTCTCAGGACATTATTACCTGCAGTGTCCCCTCATTGCAGACTGAACTCGGCAACAGGGCCTTCTCCTACTTCACTCCTGTTTCCTGGAACACCTTGCAAAAAGATCTGAAGCTCTCGACCTTGACCTCTCTAAGGGATTTTAAACATTTGTTAAAGTCAATGCAAAAATTAATGCAGAAGTTCCTGTTTTTAGTATTTTACCCCGTTTCATAATTTAGCTAGTTTTTATTTTGTTTTATATCCCTACTTTTATTTACTTTTCAATGCATATGATTTTTATGACTGTGTATTGTTGTGTGTACTTTATCTGCTGTTCTTTTTGTTTAAAACAAGTCTCTTGTAAATGAGTCCTCAATAAATAAATCCAACAATGTTCAGTCAGGCAGCACGGTGGCGCAACTGGTAGAGCTGCTGCCTCTCAGCGAGCAGGTCCTTGGTTCAAACCCCAGTCCAGGGGCCTTTCTGGGTGGAGTTTGCATGTTCTCTCCGTGCATACGTGGGTTTTCTCCGGGTACTCTGGTTTCCTCCCACAGACCAAAAACGTGCAGGTTAGGCTGATTGGTAACTCTAAATTGTCCCTAGGTGTGAGTGAGAGAGTGAATGGTTGTTTGTCTCGTTTGTCTCTATGTGGCCCTGGGATGGACTTGCGACCCGTCCAGGGTGTACCACGCCCCTCGCACAGTGATTGCTGGACATGGGCACCAGCGACCCCCGTGACCCAAAATGGAATAAGCGGGTAAAGATAATGGATGGATGGATGTTCAGTCAGGTCATCTGGACGGTTTATTTTTTTTGTGCCGAAACGTTTCGCCCTCCATCCAGAAGGCTTCATCAGTCTGAGGAAGCACCAAACAAAACTGATTCTCCCCCAACAGCTTACTCTAAAGTGGAAAAAAACAGTTATGTTTGTGCTAAGATGTCCTCTGGGGCACGCCCTCGCCCTCGTCGACAGTCGTGTCCAACTGGTTCAACTGGGAGAAGCAGTTTTGTTTGGTGCCTCCTCAGACTGATGAAGCCTTCTGGATGGAAGGTAAAACATCTCAGCTCAAAAAAAGAAGCCGTGCAGATGACCTGAATGAATATTGTTGGATTTTATACCTAGGTTATTGAGCATGGACTTTGGTGTTTAAATAAAGGTTGAATGAAGGTTTTAGCTCTGGATGTGGCTGAAATCAAACTACGCAGTAATCAGGAGGGACATATAAAACTGCTGACAGAGAGAAAACTTAAAAATATCCTGCTAAATGAGTCAAGTTGATTTCACGCAGTCCATTCGTAGACTCTTCATTTGATGAAGCATCATCGATGATTTCATTAACGTTTCTGCTCTACAAACAAAATCATTCGCTCCTCGTTAAGCTCGACGTGACTCGACAAATACTGTAATTTCTGAGCGACGCACTGGGAATTTATAGGACGCGACACAAACGACTGACGAGCGCGCCGTCGGTGCCCCTCACCGTGCAGACACAAAAAGCACAAGTCAAGCAGGAAGCCCACCCTCTGTCAACCAAACGCACACGCTAACGAAAAGGACATGAAGCGGAGGCAGCGCTGAGCTGCATCTCTGTACAACAGCAGCTAGAGAGCTCCTCGGAGGAGGCAACACATAAAGAAGGTCTGCTTCAAAACAATACGCTTTTTGTTCCAAAAGGAAGAAGCGGGTAAAAGATAATATAAGACATTCTACCGTAAAAATAAGATTTACTGGAAGGTCCCCTGAGTTGTCCCCACTAAGAGGCAACAGAATGGTCATGCACGTCTGTTTGACACCATATTTCTCAGATGTGGTGTTCCAGCTACGATGACGCTGGTGACTTTACATCTTACCAGTAAGCTTTGTTCAAAAAGGCGCTCTTCAACTATTTCACGTTAGACAGATTCTGCTGCTTGGAATCATCTATTCCTGGGATTTTTATCTTTCTTGTGAATAAATAAAAATCCATTATAAATAAAAATAGATAAAACATAAAAATCAACGAGCTGTTTTTTCACGTCTCCCGCGTGCTTTTGCCACAACAAACGGTGACAGCGGTGGGATTCGAACACACGTCACCGTTTGTCACAACGTTTTCTGGGCAAACTGGAGTTTTGTTGATTTGTGGGAGACAAAAAAAAAAAGTTGAATTTGTAGCGAACAAAAACAAGAAGAGAAAATGGTAAATTACTGTATATTCAACTCCAGTTCAGCAAACAAAATATCAATAACAATGCAAAAAATTCCAATAAAGTTTATTGGAATCCTTTGCATTAGTGTCAGTACATAAAGATCTAATATAGACACCAAGTCTTAGTGTCTATCTTAAATCTTTATGCACCGTTTCTTTTAACACTTCATATTTTTGCTATTGTTGGATGTAACTGGGACCCTGTGTACATAATTTTGTTCCACCTCTTGTACAATATGTGGTGAAATGACAATAAACCTACTTTTCTCAATTCAGTTTATTTATGTAGCACCATTTCACAACAAAGTTGTCTCAGGGCACTTTACAGAAATATTCACATACATAAAAAGCCAATTAGTAAAGTTCTCTATCTAAGGTAGGGCTGCCATTTCTAACCCAAACCTGGCCCGACCCAAATTAATGTGCGGGCCAGGCTGCGTCAGCGGACACTCGCAGCTGACGATCCAATTATATGGCAACATGGCTTGCCATACACCACCAGCCGCATGCAGCCATTTCACCGTGCGCTGACCGGCTTTGAAAGAGTTCAATTCAGATGGGACTATACTGCCAGGCAGCGATCATTCGCCCAAATGGACGTTCATTCAGCCGCTGCACTCGGCGAACGCGTGCGGCAGATGATCCAAACAGGTGAGATCCCAAAATATCCGACATGTCAGAGCAGGGTCCGTGTCTGAATAATGCAGGAGCAGGGATTTAATGCAGTTTGACGGCCATGAAAGGACAAACACCCCCTCAGCTCCGATCTTCTGCACCCTTTATTTACTCAGCCTCGCACGTCAGCCGACTGTTAATAACTATATAAGCAGTCAAAGCTTTATTAAAAATTTCGGGGTGTGTTCAGATTCGGACCTGTAATTACTGTTAATACGTCGGGTCAAGTGGGGTTCGGAAATTATGGCTATAGGCTGGGGTCGGGTCAGATTTTTTGGGGCTCGAAAAAAAATGTTAAAATGTTTTTGGACATTTAGGGGTCCAACTTATTGCCAGTTTGGCAATAAGTTGGACCCCTAAATGTCCACAGCTAGCACATGGAGGGTGTTGTGAGCAGAACTTGAGTTGATCTCAACTAATAATGTCCTTCCATAATTGAAATCATCTTGTTTTCAGAAGGTTTTATAAATATCCAAACCACAAGTGTAAAAATGCATCAAATTTAATAAACAAAAACAAAGCTAAAAGGATAAAGCTGTTTGTAAGAAGTTGTGTTTTCAAGCTCTAAGAGTCCAACAGACGGCATCAGATTTAACATACATGCATGCGTGATCAAACGGCTGCAAAACGAGCCCACATGATCGCCCTTCCACCACCGTGCTTGACAGTTGGTATGCGTCTTTTGCGCAGCTATGCTGCGTTCTTCCACAGGTTTGTCCCTCCTTGGCTTAATTTCTGCTGAATACATCATGACATCGTGGAATCTGTCGTGTACTTTTACACACCTTTGAACAATTACAGAACTCATTAAACATCAGATCATTTTCAATAAAACAAATGAAAGTACCGTTCCCCTCCATGACTGTATAAACTGAACACGGTCTTCATTAAAAATAACACACTATAAAATCCTGAACTGGTCTCAGATTGATGTCAGTTATAGTTGCAGGGTGAAGAGGTCGCCTTCTAGGAAAACAAGAACACGTTTCCATGAGTTTTGGGAAATGTTTAGTCCTGTTGACCTTGAGTGCATCACTTCAGGGCTCTAATATCAATCAACAGGCGCCACACTGTTACTGTGATCAGGAACACCAGACAGTTAATATGCGCCACTGGAGAACGCTGTCTTATTGTCTTTTCCTGTAAAATAACGATGCACGTAGGGCTGCACAATTTTGGGAATATCTGCTGCTCAACACAATATTTGATATAAACCAAGATTTTTCACATTATTCTTACTTTGGCATCTCTGCCATCAGCATCTAAACTTGTTGGAAGCCTTTAGTGCAGCAAGGACTCATCTGATTGATCAAATATACTGTTGGTATGTAGTTCATGCTGTGATTCACTGACTTTATACTCAATGACATCGTGGTGAATAGGCCTGTCACGATAAATTCTGCTGGGCGATTAATTGTCTCAGAAATTATTGCGATAAACGATAATATTGTTTGAAATTTGAAAATAATTAGTAATTATTGTCAAATTTAAGAAGAAATGTTGGTTAATTTGTTTTGCATGTAGTACATTTTTTGACCACTGGGATGGCAGTATAAGACTGTTTGAACCCAAGGATGGATAGTGAGGGAGCGAGCAGCATTATTCTTTAAGATAAATGGGGGAGAGGCCCCTTGACGTGACATGGGCTGTCTCTCTTCGGTTCTCAAAATGGCGGACGCTCTGTGTGGTGTGAGCTCTTTAACATAGCATTTTTCACACAAAGCTTTTAATAAAATTCATTAAACAATTAAACAAGTTCTCAGCTTCTTTTTGCAGAGACAAAACTTTTTACACGAAGGCACGGGTTTCAACCGTGAATTTTGGAGCTTCAACAAGACTGAGGTCTCTCCCCGAGGTCGGCCCGTTAGCTTAGCTCGTAGCTTAGCTTCTCGCGCTCAGTGATTTTGGACGATTAAAAAGGATTTTAAAGCGAAAAGAGAAAAGGAGGGGTCAGTGAAGAGCACCGGAGGTGAGTTTTTTGTCATCCAGAGAGAGACACAAAGAAACGATAAAGCCAATAAATGAAAATGAGGTTGATAATTTTAATTTATCATGCGATTAATTGATTTTTTATCGTGACTGCCCTAGTGGTGAAACTACATTCTCCATATATTGCCCAGCCCTACCAACATAATCACACCAGCTACATAGGCTACCGTGGTTTCTGAAGTCCTCCTCGAAGTAGTCCCTGTTCAGGGCGAACTCCGGTTGCTCGGTGTAACTGTAGAGCTCTGCGGACAAAACAGAAATTTATTTTTTAAATAAATCTTGCACAATCAATTTCAGAGATATAACCTGTGCAGAAAAATAAGGTTATGGTTGAAGGAGCTCAGTGTTACCGCAGTGAGACTATTCTCACTGTTTTAGATGGAAAGATCCAAACTACAGCTTGTAACTTTTTAGGGATGGACCCCTAAAGGAAGCAAGCGATGAAAGAAAAAGAATAAAGATTTGAACTCCCGTCTGCATCTCTGGGGATCTTATCTCCATCTAACCAGCTGTCACATTCAGCTGCTCCTCCTCAGTGCCGTCATCACACTTTGACCTGGAGGAGCTGTCACTACAGAGCTGCAACTGTCCGTTCATCAGGGTGGCTAAGACTTTTGGCAGAGCGGGAAGGAGCAACATCTTCCAGGCTCGAAATTAAAACGAGCTGGTGCGCCCCGCGTTAAAGACGTGAAATGAAATGTTTTGAACGTTCGTACCCGAGAGTTCAGCGGTGAGCGTGTCCGAGTCTCCGTACTCGAACTCCAGGTTTGGAGACTCCATGGAGCTCTGCGGGAAAAAAACAAGAACAAAAGCGCCTCGTGGTGAGAAATGAGATGGTCAAACCTTGGAAACATTCAAGCTTTATTGTCAATGACTTTCAGCTTCTGCATTCAATTTAAAAATGGAGTTTCATTTTGCCTCCTTAATAGATTTTCTGGTCCATATTGGCAGCCACTTCGTATCCTCTCTCGTAGTTACAGGCGCTCGCTCTACAAATAGCTTTAATAACTGAAGAGTTTCAGGAGGCTCTCCCCATCAAAGTGGTCTGATGAAGCAGCGAAGACAAAATAAGAGTCAACACGTGCCCCATTTCAGAGAGGGGTTAGCTGTTGTGGTCAGGCAGGGGTGTATGTCGGTTTTAGCCTCGATGAGATCAGCACGAAGCGCAACAGCAGCCGAACGCAACACTTAAAATTCCTGCAAATAAAAAGGAAAAGACAGCAAACCTTCCTAAGTTTAGCTCAGTGATGATGAGGATGAGGAATTAACGTCAACAAGTTGGTGATCCAAGCTGGAGGGACGTTCAGGAACACCACACACACCGGAGAGACACCAACAAGCACACAGGACGGAAACTATTTCTTCTCTTATGTACAGAGAAACTGGTTCTGCGAGACACATCAAGACACCTAAATGTAACAGAACACTGCAGAATAAATAGGATGACGCCATATAAAGGACTATACATAATGGTACACGTGTGGACGGGTGCTGCATGGGACAAAAAGCCCAATCGGTCTGCTTCTTGTGATGGAGATTATGTTTTTCAGTATGAATTATTAATGAGAGTGAGAACTAAAATACACTCCTGAGCACAAGTTGTATTCAACACTAAAAAAAAAAAAAGGTCCGTAAATATACTCTGGCTCAGCTGTCCGTGCTCTCATTTAAAAATACACACAAAACCAGTCAGTGGTAACAAACTGGCAGGCAACAACAAGCTAAACATAATGATTTGATGTCATTACTGCACTCATAAATTGGGAGATGTGAAAAAAAAAAACTTCAGAAGTCATTTCAACTCTGCATAAAACACTGTAGATTCATAAATAATTACCTTTGTGGGCATTTGCTGCTCACGGATCAAGAACTTTAAAGATCCGACTTGTAATCTTCACGCAGCGTCCGTTTCTTTGAGGCTTACTTTTCACTCTGCACTCTTTGTCTGCCTGTCATTAATCGGGACCGACAGATACAGGTGTTGCGGTTACCATGGTGACCTTAAAGCGGCGCTGGCAGGCGCTTCAGCGTTGTTTTTTTTTTGTTTTTTTTACAGTTCATACCTCCAACTGTAGGTATTTGCTGAGTTGGTGGGTTTTGGGGGCAGCAGCTGCATCGAGTCCACCCACAGGACGGTTGATTATTTAGAGTCAAACATAATATTCTGGCACGAACGTGTAAATGTTTGGGGTCGGAGTCACATTTCACCACCTGCACCCAGCACCGCTGTAGGATAACCGGACTATTTTTAGGACTCGGCAGCCAAAATAGCACCTCGCCGTCTGCCTGCATGCTTTCGAGCCAAGACACCGCATGGAGGGGACATTCAGCTGGTCTGAAAGCTCCCCAGCAACAACACACCTCTCTCATACCACCACCACCATTTACCTCCGACTCCTTCTGCTGGTCCTTGAACGCATCTTTCCCCTTCAGCCTCTGTCTGTCGCCGTTGTCGTTCAGGTTATTAATGATGGGAACCTCCATGTCCTCCATCTTCCCTGGCTCGGCTCACTCACTCGTCGGCGGGTGGAGTTGGTGCATACCGGTGCGGCTGGAAGAGTTCAGACTGCGGCTCCAGTCCAGGGAGCCGCGCGAAGGGTCTCCTCCTCCAGGTCCCCGCGCGCCCCAAGTGGGCGGGGCTAGAGGCAGGCAGAAGAGAGGCGCGTGGACCTGACCCCACAGCGGGCAGGTTCAATGACAAACTCGTTTTTAGTTCCTAATTTGTTTAAAACGACACCGAAATCAACAAATACAATTAAAAAAAAAAAAAAATATATATATATATATATATATATAAAAAACAATAATGGGAAAAGACAAAATTTCTCAAAACTAAAAAGTTTACCGCGCAACAATTTAACTACGGAAGCCTGAAAAGGACAAAACAAGAACAAAAATGTACAGCTAAAATGTTTTGCTTTAATGGAAATTGTAAAATCTCGAACAAGTCCATTCATTTAAAAACTTGTAGCGTTTACTGCGCTGGAAAAATGAGACACGCTGAGGACTTTTTACAATATCGAGTTTTTCATCCAGCCACCTTTTCCCTCTCTTC